TGTTAAGGAAATATTAAGCTTCTCAATGATCAAAATTAGTGTTTGTCAAACTGCTATATAACCAATGAAATTTTTCTGATAAAGTGGTTGGTTCAAATTTTTTGAAATTTTTATATTTTTGTCAAAGGGTCAAAGTAAACATTTTGTCAAAATTTTATGAAAATTAAACGAGCCAAATTAATATTAGTCAAGGTGTTGGGTACCACCTTAAACATCGCCAATGGAACTTGCGTACATTTGTAAACCGAACCCATTAGTACCAGTCTCTCCACAGATAACATTATTTTTCTTAACCAGTTAGAAAAAAAAATGACTTTTAAAAGTAGTCCATGGAATCAGTTTGCAAGTTTCTCTTCCTTACACAAATCTTTTTAGAATTAATAAAATCATTATATAGAATATTTTTTTATTCAACGACTGGTCAAATGTCTATAAGGAGATATCGGGTAAACAACATATCAGCACTAACAAACACAAAATACTCATAAGCAAAAAATGAAAATAATTTACATATGTCGTAGCCAAAAATACCGATCTAATCAGAAGTTTGAAAAGAGACAATTTCCCAAGAAAAAAATCATAAATCGAAGAAAACCCCCAAATAATATGATGGCTAAAAAGAAAACCGACCGAAACGACAAATAGACACAAAATAGTCCACATAACACCACACAGAAAAACTAAAGATTGAGCAATACATGTAAGTCGTTGATGTGATGATCAAGGAAAAGAGAACGTGATTGTGGTTATAATTGGAACATATCCGTGATCATCTGTTATGAACTCCCTTAACTATAACGTTATAATTGGAACATATCCGTGTTCATCTGTTATGAACTCCCTTAACTATAACGTTATAATTGGAACATATCCGTGTTCATCTGTTAAGAACTCCCTTTACTATAATGTCATAATTGGAACATATCAGTGTTCATCTGTTGAGAACTCCCTTAACTATAACGTTATAATTGGAACATATCCGTGTTCATCTGTTGAGAACTCCCTTAACTATAACGTTATAATTGGAACATATCCGTGTTCACCTGTTGAGAACTCCCTTTACTATAACGTTATAATTGGAACATATCAGTGTTCATCTGTTGAGAACTCCCTTCACTATAACGTTATAATTGGAACATATCCGTGTTCATCTGTTGAGAACTCCCTTAACTATAACGTTATAATTGGAACATATCCGTGTTCATCTGTTGAGAACTCCCTTTACTATAACGTTATAATTGGAACATATCAGTGTTCATCTGTTGAGAACTCCCTTAACTATAACGTTATAATTGTAATATATCAGTGTTCATCTGTTGAGAACTCCCTTAACTATAACGTTATAATTGTAACATATCCTTGTTCATCTGTTGAGAACTCCCTTAACTATAACGTTATAATTGGAACATATCCTTGTTCATCTGTTGAGAACTCCCTTAACTATAACGTTATAATTAGAACATATCCGTGTTCATCTGTTGAGAACTTCCTTAAATATAACGTTATAATTCGAACATATCCGTGTTCATCTGTTGAGAACTCCCTTAACTATAACGTTATAATTGGAACATATCCGTGTTCATCTGTTGAGAACTCCCTTAACTATAATGTTATAATTGGAACATATCCGTGTTCATCTATTGAGATCTCCCTTAACTATAACGTTAGCCGAATAGAGCTTTAATACGTTATGAATAAAACAACGCAAAACTTCCAGAGATCTGCAAACACACACTATTGAATATTAAATACCTAAAACAAAGACTAGGATGGTTTTGATTTGGAACAGTCACATTTGAATGCGTTTTATACTTTATTATGCTGCGTTCTTATTTCTATTCGCATTAACTAATTCGAATTAGTTTGATCCGCATCCGAAACGTTTTACCGTCCGAACGAAAATTTTAATACGAATTGCAATGCGCGTCAAATTCGCTTTAATGTCCAAACGCCGTTAAATTTTAATTTGCATTATCAATTAATTAATTATAATTTAAAACAAAACAACCATTTTAGAGCCAATAACATCTTCAAACTTGCTCTCTTGATCTAATATGGCATTTATCGGAATCATTATTACATCTCATTTCAATAACAGGGCTAGAGTTTACCTATTTTTTCCTGTTATTTTGAACAAACCATTGTTAAACGAAATAAAATTTTTAATTCGTCTTTGAAATTTTGCCCAGATTTATTACTTCTTAAAAAACTTCTTCTTTAGGGAACGACTATTTGATTTTTATGGAGGGTGCAACAAAATCATCAAAAGACAAGTCAACTATGCGCAGCTGGACATTCGGCAAACAACTATGATCAAGCAATCAACCAAATATTGATGTGCATTTGTATTATTATAAAAATATAATTATTAGAAATAAGAAGATGTGATATGAGTGCCAATGAGACAACTCTCCATCCAAGTCACAATGTGTAAAAAGTAAACAATTATAGGTCAAAGTACAGCCTTAAACACGGAGCCTTGGCTCACACCGAACAGCATGCTATAAAGGGCCCCAAAATGACTAGTGTAAAACAATTCAAACAGGACAACCAACGGTCTAATCTATATAAAAAACGAGAAACGAGAAACACTTAAGAACCACATCAACAAACAACAACCACTGAAACAGGTTCCTGACTTAGGACAGTTGCAAACAAATGCAGCGGGTTTAAACGTTTTAACAGGCATTAACCTTCTCCCTAACCTGAAATACATATGTAGTAGTGTAACATTACAACTTAGAAAGACACACTATAAAATAAATCATTCATGCAGAAAACTGTCTGAACAAAAAGAAATGAACAACATCTGTGTGCCGTTTCATATAAATTTACATTATGATGGCGATATATGAGTAAATTTCAGATACATTTACTTCGACAAACATTCATTAACTATACAAATATTTAAAATAATGGCGTCACTAATTTGTCTGTTCTATGTTGTAACATGCAATAGCAAATCAAATAAATTCTTGACATTTTTAACTAATATTTTGTGTGATGCATACTTAAAGATTTATTAAACAATTACTAAACATAAGTAGTTGAGTATAAACTATGCTTTATCTATATGATAGATTATTGGATAAAAATAAAGATGATATTCATGCCTGTACTTAGTTTTACTTCAGTTGCATGGTTTAACCTCATTATCTTGGTACAATCAATCGACGATACATTGTAATAAGGGGACGGAAATTTGATTTTATTTTGGGGAGAGTAGAGCAGGATGGTTTTGCAAATGACTATTCCGGCCTGGTAAGAAATGAAAATAAATTACATTACATAAGAGGATGAAAATGAGTATTTTGCAACACAAACTGCAGGAATCAATCGTGCACAAAAATGCAAATAAATTTTCGCGGAAATGAAATAAACGTGCCTAGCAACATTACAGATGGCAGTGAATAGTCAATACCCCCCTCCCTAATCAGCATATCGAATGGTCGTCCCCTAATAATTATTTAGACTTTTAATAATTTTATGGAACAAGTTTAACGTTAATACAGCCATGTTTTGAACTCTAGTCATTACAATATCCTTGTCTTTAAAGTTTCATTGTTAACACTTGACATAATATATTTAATTACAGTGCCATAAAATCTTAAGGGACGTTAATTTACATAGGAGGTTAATATAGATCATTCAAATAACGATTCAATAACCAATAGATCAATAGTCACCTATTCTCTAAAAAAACTTCAATTTTGTCTATTTATTTATAATTAATTCATTCCTTAAGTCCTGTAGTGTAAGTGTTTGAAGAAGATTTGCAAAAGAAATTTTATTTGAATTGAAGCTTAGCAAGAATGATTGGAATTCTTAGAATAAGAATTTCTTTTGTTGAAAAAAAAATATCAACGACTTTACAACAACGGATAAAGTGACTTTAATTATAGAAATTTCTAAAAATGTATCGTTAAAAATAGTAAAATCGGTAAATAAATTGAAAAACTACATTTATTTAACGTTATTTGTTTATTATTGCGAGCGACACTAAACTTACTACTGCAACAATTCATTTAGAAGGTGTTACATCGTTTGTGACAGAAACGAGGAGCAGCATAGAAAACTGGCAAAGATACACAAAACGCTTTTAAGATTCGGATCAAACAAGAAGATTGGATGAGAGACAATGATGCAGCACATGCTTCATGCATTGAATACATAAGTGTGATAATCATTATATTAATAGTTATACCAAGATAATTTTATCATCTTTAGTGCTAATTACAATGTAGTTTAGATGGACGCTTTATTTCTATATCCGTTATTAAAACCTTCTTTCGAAGAAATGTGAAATAACGAGATAAATGAAAAGTTAACGTTTAAGGTGTAAAAAAATGCAGTTTTACATATAATTTGTCAAATACTGAGGAAACAATTCAAAATGTCAAAAAAATGAATTTTTGTTATAGCTTTGCAAAGCACTTTTGTATCGGTTAAAGCTGACGTTTGATGTAATTTGTAAAACATTATAAGTAACGACACGCAACATGGAAATTTAACGTTTCAACGTTCGTCGACTTTAACTTTAAATTACTATGACATTGTGAGACGAGTTTTATATTAGATTCTAGGATTGTGCTTTAATTTAAGTCTCCAGACCATCAACTGGTACTTTATATTAATCAACGATTTATCAGATAACAGTATTATTATTCTGATGGCTGAAAGATTGTTGAATTTATCCAATAGAAGTGAAGTTAGAATTAAGTGTTATCAGACGAGATTCTACTCCGATCAATTTCCATGGAAGCACGTGAGCTAGTTAACGTCTGCAATGACTTAATCAATGACATTCTATAAATATATATCAATATTTAATAATCATTCTGATCCCTCTGACGACAAAGAATTGATACATGTATGCAAATAATGACAGACTTTGTCGAAAGAAAATAATGGAAACTTATGAAATCTTTGGAAAGTTTTGAATAAGTAGTGTAGTCTTTTAAATCCAGCGAAGAAACTTAATACACTTTCCATTCTTTAAGATGGATAAAAATTTGACAGAAAATTCAACAATTATTTATAAACAGATCACAACACCTAAACTAGACCAAGGACCTTTAGTTGGATTAATAGTTTTATATTCTTTAACCACTTTACTTTCTCTGGTTGGCAACATATTTGTTGTGATTGTTTTCAAAAAAGGTAAAAGGTCAAGGACTGATTTGAGACCTTTCCTTATTAACCTTGCACTTGCAGATCTTTTGATGGCTGCATTTTGCATGCCTTTTACTTTCGCGGACGCTATATTTCGTACATGGATATTTTCTGAAGTGTTTTGTCCTCTAGTTCTTTTTATCCAAATGTTGTCTGTAGCGGCAAGTGTTTTCACAAATACGGCGATAGGAATAGATAGATTTCTGGTAGTCATGTTCCCATTAAAACATCGGTTTACTCAACAAAGATACAAATATGTTATTATATCAATTTGGATATGTTCTACGTCATTAGCTTCGGTACAATTTTTCGTAGCACGAACAATTACCTATGACCCCGGCTATCTTGTTTGCCAGGAAGTCTGGCCAAATACACATTCTAGGCGCGTTTATACCGTAATACTTCTTTTATTTACCTACATAATTCCTTTATTCATTTTGACAATAACGTATTCTGTTGTTGGATTTTTACTTTGGAAAAGAACAACGCCAGGAAACAGAGATCATTATCGAGATTTCTTACAATGGAAGTCAAAAATAAAGGTAAGATTGTTGTAATATGTCCCCTTCTAGGGCCTTATGAGGATCCAGGTGGGGATACGTCATTATTTAATTAATTTTGCCTTTTTTTTACTATACTTTTGTTTTCCACACATTATTCCCTAATCCTTTTATTTCAGCGCCCAATTATGCATTCCTTTGTTTCTCGTTGTTTTTATCATTTTTTTTTTAATGTGGGAAAGGAGGGGGGGGGGGGGGGGGGGCGGGACTTTTTCCCTATTCTTGATTCCCCCTTATTCTCATTTTATGTTAACCCAATCCATACTCTTTCTTATTAAAATGGACTTAACACTGTTTCATTTTGTTATTTTTTTTTATCAGTCCACAACTCTAAATCATATTTTACCACAAGTGACAGGAAGAACCTCTCCAAGCTTCACATGATTTCTAATTCATGTGTGAGTACATGGTGTACACCAACTAATTTTCGCGACTTTCGAAGGTACAATAACATCGCGAACTTAATTTGTCGCAAATATATGAAACTATGATCTTCTCTTATATAAATCCAGAAAGAAAATTGAGAACACCGCGAAAAAAAATCGCCGCAGAGTTGGCAAGAAAGAAGACCTTAACGCGAAATAAAGTATGCTTGAAGATTAGTTGGTTTACTGTAATTTACACTCATCTCACCTTAATGCAATATAAGATAAATGGTAAAACGAAAGGTATATCTCAAACATCGAATTCTCTCCTGCTTTTGAAATGAAATCCATTATGCAATTAATACTTTACTTTTAGCAATCAATAAAGTTTTCAAAGTTGTTTAATTTATTTATGCTTAAATAGAAAAAACATATTATTGCCTCAATTCTCTTTATGGAATCCCTTAGTGTGTTTACAATCTTGTGATTTCGAAAGATAAGATGATAGAGTGATAAATAAGTCATGCGTTCTGTAAATCTGGCATTTAAACCTAATTGATAAAGTGAAAGTTGCGATATTAAAATGTTAGCAATATTTGAGTGACTTGCAGAAAACAATGACGGACAATTGCTCTTGTAAAAATAGCAGTTTTGACATGATAATTATATGACAAGCAACAAGAATTGTAACAACGAAGAATAGCGAACATCTTATGACTATCTTTAAAAATTAAATTGAAAATGTTATTCGTTTATATTGCCACTATAGTTCACATTGGTCATACAAAAACTGTGCATTCTTGACAGTCATTTTTGAACCTGATCTAGTACATCCATGATCTTTGCATTATAATTGTGCAAATAATCTTAAAAATATCAGTTATATATACAAAGAAACTATATATTACCTTTTGAAACATTGATATGACAGAAAAATTACCATAATATCATGTCAAAACAGCCATAACCATAAGAGTGTTCAGTCATAGTGCATTTTATTAATTTAATCATTAGTTTACTATTGATATTTAACACAGGTATGATTTAACATTAAGTTATCTAAATTTTTTCGTTAAAAGTTTAGTAACTATTAGTAGCAACCTCTTTCCGACGCCATGATTCTGTTTATCCAGTCTAGTTTTGACATGTTCAGATAACAAACTTACGCTTTTCTATATCATTTTCAAAATATAGCTGTTTTTTTTTTCATGACAAACATCATTTAAAGTTCTCCCTTGTCATTTGTTCTCAATTTCCATTGTCGTCTTCTTTTTATGCTTCAGTTCTTTTGACGAAATCAGAAACATTAATCCAAAATGCGTTTGAAATTATGTTTTAATTATTCATTACAATTGCATTTAATGTTCATTGAGAGCAACAAAAACTGTGGGTGGTAGAATTCCTATAATGTACTATATCTGTGTATTAATACGGTATCGATGAACGTTTGTCGAATGAACAGATGATAGGATTATGCATAAGTTAGGTCTAAGCTTTACTGGAGAGACAACCAAAGAAAAGTAATGATAACATTATATATTATATTGTACCATGAATGGTAGTTTTACCTTTGTTCTTCGAATGAGTTCACTTCTGTCATTTTTAGATGAGTGATTTAATTGAATAGATTTTCAGTTAGAGCACTATCGAATCCAGTTGACCGCTTCCCATTAAAAGCGCAATACAATTTTATTGGTGTGCATTAGATTTTAACTTTTGACATCTGGCATTGCCCATTAAAATTACAAATCATATATGGCTGCGCCTTACTCATTAACATATTTAATCCACTCAAAGCTACTTTTTGGTGCATTAAATACGTTGATTCGTAAAAGGCGTGCTATATATACAACATATCATTTTCTGAAATAAGCATTTTTAAGCTGATGACATTACATTGTTAAACATACAAAATGATTACGTGACTCCCTCTGAAGTTGATACTAACACATGTTATCATTTTATGCTTATAAATACATGTATATTTAAATATTTACTTTGAGCGAACAAATAGGAGGCAGAAACAGTACTTACATCAGTATATGTTATATGTATTATTCGATGTATTTGTTTGGCAGAAATTGTGTTTTACAGTAAGTACACTAAGGCAAATGGCACACTTTGCAAGTGCATCGGTATACAATGTTAATCAGTACAATGTGAATTAGGGTATTATATTTGACTTTTTTATGTAAGAGAAAGACAGGCGAAAGATACAAAAGGGACATTCAAACTCATAAGTCGAACTTTGCTTTTAGTAGGCTCTATCTCTTGAATCTATCTGTTTATTAAAAGGTAAGCAAAAAAGAAATTGTAAACTTTATTCAAAACCAATAACTTTTTTTAAAATTGTTTTTTAAAATGAATGATTAAATTGAAAAAAAAGTCCTTTTTGAAATACGCACAGTTCTAAGCTGACTAAAAATCTGTTTTTAAAATTGTAGAAGGAAAAGAATATTAAATCTTAATGAATTTGTTATGTTATCATTATAATACGAATAAAAAGTAAACAAATGACTGAGTAACAAACTAAACTTGTACATGAAAAGACCAAGTTTTTTTTTTAACCAAAACAACATTATACACACACACCCACACCACACACACAATGTATCTCATTCAATTCGAATGTCATGACATTAACGTTGTTTTGTACTATCATTTTAATGAAGACCTTTGTGTTCAACAATTCGTTTCACTTTGTAAAAAGATCTTGAGATTTTTCATAATTAGTTCTGTACAAAGCATGAAATGTGAACATTATGTACTCTCCGATATTATTACAACGTGACCTTTTGAAATACATCATCTAGTTTTCAAGTCCCAATGAAAGCTTAAACTTACACTTGAATCGCTTTTAGAATTCAAAGGAATCGACACCTTTCCTTTGATAATACTTGTTCAATCAACATCTAATTGGATCTCTTATTACATAACATAATTGAAATCTTGTCTCTGTAGTCATTCATTTGTGGGCGTTGATAAAAAATGTTTCGTCATAAAGATAGGATCTTGAAATTCACTGCCTTCTGAAATGGGTTCTCAATGGACGCTTTATAAGCTGGTAGTGATCTATTTGTGTTATATTTAATTAAATTGCTTGTTTAATTGATTCGATGAAACAAGTTTATGTGTACCATCGGAACCAAGAACGGTTGTGTTATACGATAACCAGTAGGATTCACAGTTAAGATTGAAATTAATTATCTTTAAAGTACTTCGATCAATTTACATTCACAAGAAAGATCCATTTTTTTTTTATTTATTTCAAAAGCAAATTTATTTCTAAAGGTTCGCTATTATATGTATGTTCTGAATCATTTGCTTGGAGATAGGATCATTTTGTAATTAGGAATACTGCCACTGCATATGAGTACATTGCTATATCTGCACAAATGTATTGTATGGGTTTATAATCAGTTTGATTGTAAGTCGGAGCAATTTAATAGCATTATAATGTTAAAAATTCAAACCTTAACAATGATGATCAACTCTTTAATTTATAAAACAGCTAAAGTATTCCGAGATTTATTTCTCTTTCCTACAACAAAAAGAGAAATTATACATAGTTTTAAGTGGCTATAATGTAACGACCGTTATGCCAATAAATTATTTATTGTCTTGTCTTTTGCTAACATAAACCATTACATCAAATAGTTATTTATTTGTCGCAATAAGTGGCTTACTTGCTAAATATATCATTATATTGATTTAGTAAACTAGTGCTGCATTATCATTTAATAATACAGCAGAATCAAAATCTTGCTTCACAAGAATACATGTACATGTAATTAACACTTCCTTTCCGTATTGACACGATTTCTTAAATTGTTCTTTTATAAATTTCGAAATTATTAAGAAAATAAGATCCGAACTCCCTCAGGCAAGATGAACTAATGTAGGTTTGACCATTATCTTTAGATCCCATTTGATCATATTGCTATTCGCCATGTTCACGTGTGTCGGTTTGGTTTTCAAATATTTGGCTTTGAGCGTTCCTAATAAAACTAGGTAATCCAAAAACGCGCTTCGAACGTTTAACAATTATAAAGTCCTACTTTTTTGTCAATGTAAGAACAAGGTAGAAACATCTATTATACTCACTTTTCTTTATAGCTTGACGGTTTCTTTGCATCATGTTGAAATATTACAATTGATGAGAATGTTTTGTTTTCAACCAACACATTTAATGTTAGTTTACCTCGATAGTCAAACAAAGACGCTTCTGTAGAGATTTGGGTTTGCCCATTTCTGTCATAGCATATGTTTGCTGGTGGCATGCTTTGTTTATGGTGAAGGTATAGAAAAGAAATATAGACAAAATGACCAATCTCCAATGTTGGTTGCTGTATTTAATAGCAGTACATTTTCTATAAATTTACTGTGACTGTGTTTGTTTTACACCATTCATTGGTACACACAGCCCGGTCCGTGAAAGTTTGCATTAGTAATGCTCATTTCTGCAAAGCACTTTGGATGTCGATACAGCTGTAAACTAAGAATTAAAATAAGAAGAAGTTGTATGATTGACAATGAGACAACTCCCCACCAGAGACCAAAATTAAAACTCACTATCTGTGAACGGGCGATAATTTGAGTATTTAAACTCAAATGAAG